CCAGGCGAGCTGCAGCTTTCTGGACAAGCTCCAGAGGTCTGATGGCCAACGCCGGGGCTCCGACAAGTAGTGAGTTGCAGTAGTCCAGGCGGGAGATGACAAGAGCCTGGATGAGCACCTGCGCTGTCTCGTCAGTGAGGAAGGGGTGAATCCTCCTGATGTTGTAGAGCAGGAATCTGCAGGAGTGTGTAACCGATGCAATGTTTGCTGAGAACGACAGTTGGTCATCCAGGGTCACACCCAGGTTTCTCGCAGTCCGAGTTGGCGTCACCACGGTATCATCAATCTTGATGGACAGGTCTCGGTGCGGGCAACCCTTCCCCGGGTGGAACAGTAGCTCGGTTTTGTCCAGGTTGAGCTTGAGGTGGTGTGTCGTCATCCACTTCGAGATGTCAGCCAAGCACACAGCGATGCGTGCCTCCACTTGAGTGTCACCGGGGGGAAATGACAAGACCAGCTGGGTGTCATCGGCATAACAATGGCAAGAGAAGTCATGCGAGTGAATAACAGAACCCAGAGATGTTGTGTAGAGCGAGAAGAGAAGGGGGCCCAGGACTGAACCTTGTGGAACCCCCGTAGTCAGCATGAAGCGACTCCGTCACCGCAAGCAGGGCTGTCTCAGTCGAGTGACCCACTTTGAACCCGGACTGGTGGGGGTCCAAGAGGCTGTTCTGATGGAGATAGGAAGACAGTTGGTTAAAGACAGCACGTTCAAGTGTTTTGGATAGAAAGGGTAGAAGAGAAACCGGTCTGAAGTTCTTGACATCAGAGGGGTCAAGTGATGGTTTCTTCAGAAGGGGGTGACTCTGGCAGTCTTGAAAGCCGTGTGAAAGCATCCTGAGATGTTGATGAGGTGGGTGAGGAAAGGAAGGAGTTCAGTCGCAATAGACTGAAGAAGAGGGGAGGGGATCGGGTCAAGGAAGCATGTGGTGGGGCGGTTAGATGTAACAAGGTTGAGGACCTCGTTAGGGGACAGAGGTACTGAACAGAGGTACACTGTAAGAAATGTAGTAAACAGCGTAATACATTCACTCAACAGACACACAATCACCAAAAAGGTTATAAAACTACAGCTTCAGCTTTTCTTTGCTCAAGTGTTCAAGTCTCGTCTTGTTGACTCTTGAATTTGTATAAACATCTGCTTTAATCTCTCTGTGTCTCTGTGTCTCTGTGTGTGTGTGTGTGTGTGTGTGTGTGTGTCTCAGTTCATGCCCTCTGGTGGTTCGAGAACGCTGACCAGCGAGCTGAAGTTCGACACAAAGCTCATACTGACGCCCGAGTGGTCGCTGCAGGTGAGACTCCGCCCACAGGAGATCATGTGACATCATACACATACCTGCAAACTTGTCGCTTTTCAGCGAAATTCGCCGTTTTGAATCAAAATATGTCATCCACGTGAATCGTGTAGATCCGTAGAGGGTCAACTGGCCAGCCAGCGTTTCTCAGATTGGAGTGAGACGAGGAGAAAAGGTGATGTTATGATCTTCACAATAGAACATCTTTGACGTGTCGAGTCTTGGCCAATCAGCGTTAGCATGTCTACAGCGTCTTCAGTTCCCTCCGTTACAGTTTAAGTTCCGTTACCGTTCAGACTTGCTGGGTTAAGTTAACGTCCACTGCATGCGACACTTTGTCGACTGTTAACGTTCGTCATTATCACGATTTAGGAGGAAAAAACGTAACGTGATTGTTAGAAAAATTCACTCGAGCCGATGTAAAAATCATTAATCGCTGGACATTTATTCTTTGCAAAGAAGGAGACAGAGTTGATTCACATACAGAATGTACATCAAGACCGCTCGAAGATCTGTCTCCGAGTCTCTGGTATTTATACTCAGTAAACAACATGCAGTGGGCTGGCACAGGGTAACGCGCACACGCGCACACACACACACACACACACAGGCGTCTACCTATCTGGACACTTTAACAGTTCGTTCTAGTACAAAGGTCACTTTCTCGTAAGTCATGGTCGCAAATCAGCCCTGCGTAAGTATTGACGCTTTCTACAAGTTTATTATCATTCTTATTCAGGACAAACAGCTGAAGTTTTCTTCCGTCAATCAACTGCTTCCTAATAGACTAAACATCTGCTGAAGACACCTGGTGTTCCAGACAGTTCACACAAGGACACTTAAACATTACAGAGGACACGAGCTTCTGTTAAATGTAGAACATTCATTAATTATAATGCACAATAATTAGTTATTTCGATTTTTTCCCAACAGTGATGAAACATGCAGCCCCCCCCCCCCCCCCCCCCCCCCCCGTGTTCCGGTTCAGTTCACGCGGTCACTCGTTAACGTTAAACTGGAACACCAGCGCATCTGGTTGCAGGCTGTTTTTTTTTTAAACTCAAAGTAGAATAAGGATGATTTCGTGGTCTGGATAACTTTCATGACCACGAAACATGAGGCCCAGATACTGATGAGATCAGAGAGCTTCAGGAATAGGAGGCTGGTTGTGTAGCGCAGCTTGACGCAGGGCTGAGATGTGAGTGGAGCTGGGCCTGGATAAAGGTGGAGCTGGGCCTGGATAAAGGTGGAGCTGGGCCTGGATAAGGGTGGAGGTCTAAACAGACGTGAGTACAGCTTCCTGCTGTCACAGTATTTTAAATACATTGATAAGGCAGGGTATGCTGAATGCAGCCTCTGCTCCAAGGAGATGAACTACAGCAACAAGGGCTCACATGTCCTCTCATCACACTGTTCACTGTGATGACCACAGCCAGTGTACCAACAGTCCCACGTTGCTCCCAAGAACCCTGAAGTAATGAGAGGGTTTCGGGCCTGTCACCTTTTTCACCTCTTATGAGTTTGCAGGTATGCATACAGGATGATGTCATACCTTCATTCACCTGTCTCTCTCTTTCAGTCAGAAACTGTGTCATCCATCTGGACTCTCAGGAGAACAAACTCATGTTCCCTTGTTCCTTCTCTCCGCTGAAGTAACTTCCTGAGTCTCCACTTCCTGTGTCTCCACGGCCACAAAGACAAACACTGTTAAAACTTACTTTGTCCTCTGTGGGCCTCCGTAGCGTTATGATGAATCCCACTGCTTTTCTCGGTAAGTTGCGCTTTGATTGGTTAATGAGCTATTCTGACCCCAACAACCGGAGCTCAATGCAATCCAATCCAATCGTCTGCCTCCACCGGCCACACAGGGGGCGGGGCTTACCAAGAAGAGCAGTGGGGTCCGTAGTTACAGCAGGAAGTGAGTTAAATAAATATGTAATAATGATGAAAAATAAAAGCATTAATAAATCCAATGTCGTCTCGGTGTTGTGACAGCAGCAGCACCCAATCCTGTGGCTGGGATGTTGAGGTGGGCGGGGCTAATCTTAAATCTGAACAATGAACTTAAAAGATTAAAGAGTAAAAGCAGAGGGGCTGGATTTGTCTCTTTATTGTGTCGTTCAGGGTTAAATAAATGTGTAAAGTGCTGAGGAGGCGGAGCTCCTTCAGATCGATCAGCTGTTCGACTGTTCAATACTCGGAGGTATTTACTTCACACAAACACTAACAAATCACATCTTTTCTTTAAAAAACTAGAAAATCAGTCTTTGTCGTCATTGTGCAGCGCTTTGCATCGAGCGCTTTGATTGGCTGTTAAAACACTACAGGAAACAGACACGCCCCGCCAAAATAAGACGAGGAATCACACTCCGTTTCAGCTACACATAAATAAAACTGACACGATAAAAACGAAATCAAACGTTTTTCTAAACATGTGATTGTTGCAGTCGAGCCCTCGGCCATTTTAAATTATTTGATTCTTCTTCGTTGGTTCAACGGACGCAGAGTTCATTAATCACAGAAGAAGAAATCAGAGGCGGATATTCAAGGGTCTTTAACAGGCTGGTGGGCGGCAGCTACGCAGGGAATCATTTGCATTGACTGGCATGAAGCAGCAGGTGACTCCGCCCACAGGTATGACATCACGACAGGTGAGGGGTCGATCACATGAAGCTCTCCTTCAGCATTCCCCCCCCCTCCTCAGCTGCTCCACTCAGCGTGGAAACATCAACGGCGACGTCTCGGCGACGCACCGAGTCTTTGGAGTGATAGTCGTCACTCTGGTCCTTTGCAAAGTTCACGAACACCTGGAACAAGAAACGCCGTCCAATCAGATCAACAGGAAGTCTCACTCAGGTGTGTTTAGTGTGTTACCTGCTCAGGTGTGTGTGTGTTTAGTGTGGTTACCTGCTCAGGTGTGTGTGTTTAGTGTGTTTACCTGCTCAGGTGTATGTGTTTACCTGCTCAGGTGTGTGTGTTTACCTGCTCAGGTGTGTGTGTTTAGTGTGGTTACCTGCTCAGAGGTGTGTTACCTACTCAGGTGTGTGTGTTTAGTGTGGTTACCTACTCAGGTGTGTGTGTTTAGTGTGTGTTGGGAATAACATAGCCTCACACGGGGCACCATTATGTTGGGAATAACATAGCCTAAAAAAGGGGGCACCAATATGTTGGGAACGTAAAGGAGCGTGTTTGGGTTATCAGCATCTAAGAAACTAAATTCTTGACATCAATAGAATTATTAATGTCAGTAACAATTATTAATGATTATTAATAATAACGGGGCACCACCCTGCGAACAGGGACCAATAACCAAACAATAAACTAAGTCTCAGTGTTCACTCACAATGTCAACAGCCTGAGTACTATTACACAATCAGAGTGAAAGTGAAGGTTTAAGTTTGAGCACAGACCACATATACAGCTATCATCACAATACACATACACAAAGTAATCACAGACAGCTGCTCTTTAAAATATAACAGTTTATTACGTTCTAATACTAATGATCTAGTCAACTAATATCTAAACTAACAACAACTATACATTCATGAGCACGCTATCTAAAATCAACAGACGATTGAAAAGGGGTGTGTGTGCGTGTGTGTGTGTGTAAGTGTAAAAGGAGGAGCGAGGGAACAGCTCAGCGACGTATGACGTAGTTGGGACGTGGTGACGTCTCTCATGCGCGAGACTCAAAATGGCGGATAGCCAACAGGAGACCCGGCGTCTATACGTACCGGTAGCCGTTTAGCACGTAGCTACATTAGCTCAAAGCTATGTTTGTGTGTGTGTATTAGTAAAAGAGAAGGGAAAGGAACAAAATGAAATAAAACAAGAGATTAAGATCCTCTGCGCCGCGCGGGAGTACGGAAGATTGTTCTCTCAGCCAGGGGAGCAAGAACCGCGACTCTTTGTCTCAGCCGGCGGTTCTGACCTCCTGAACTGATGAGAAGCAACTTCGACCTCACTAGGCAGCTATCTCAACACAGATCACGGTAGCATGAAATCCCCAACGATCTCAGCGACCGTTAGTGCCGGCGATTATTAAGCATACACCACGTTATAAAAATGAACAGTACTTTAAGCACACAAACAAGATAAAATAAACACAAATTAACTCTCTCTAACTCTACCCAGACTCTATTTTGCCTTACGGTACGATGCAATCGTGGTGATTGCGGGGGGGGGGGGTCTTCTGAGGGGTTCTTCTGAGCTTCGTTGGGCCCAGGCAGCGCGGCTGTGGGCCGCGGGAGGTGTTCTCTCGGTAGGAGAGATTCGCTGTTGTCTGGGTAAGGGCTTTTCGCGTCCTTAAGTCCGGAGCAAACGAGGCGCTTGGTGGAGAGTGGAAGTTCTCTCTCTCTCTTTCTGAAGAAGTCTTGCTTCTTCACTTCTGCAGGAATAAAAGGGTTCGCTTCGTGGATACGAACAAAGATAAAATAGACAGTTTGGTGAATTCGGCCAGCGAATATAAACTGTTAGACCTAGGATTTGGTTGAAAAGGGAAACAACGTTGGTGTGCTCCCTAGAAAGCATTGAGGTGGGGGTTGCTGGTTGTTTTGTAGAAAGGGTGGCTGAACCACAGGGGTCCTGGGTTGTCTTCGCTCTCGGCCAATTAGATTGCCGCGCTGCTTTCAGGTAACTTCAGGAACACACAGTTTTTTGGGGGGAGGAAACTCACACCCGAATGTGAATTTCTTCAGAGTTGTGGGTTTGCTGCTCAAACTACAATCAGGATGAAACCTTTGCTTGCAAAAGGGAAGGCCTGACTCTCTTTGTTCCACAGCACATGTCGAAGCCATATAGTCAGATCCCAACATGTGGTTACCTGCTCAGGTGTGTGTGTTTAGTGTGGTTACCTACTCAGGTGTGTGTGTTTAGTGTGGTTACCTGCTCAGGTGTGTGTGTTTAGTGTGGTTACCTGCTCAGGTGTGTGTGTTTAGTGTGTTACCTGCTCAGGTGTGTGTGTTTACCTGCTCAGGTGTGTGTGTTTAGTGTATTACCTGCTCAGGTGTGTGTGTGTTTAGTGTGGTTACCTGCTCAGGTGTGTGTGTTTAGTGTGGTTACCTGGTCCAGGGTGGTCTGGGTGACGGAGTAGTCCTCGATCCTCAGCAGGTCCTTGTTCTTGGCAAGGATGGAGAAGATGTGTGTGAGTGAGGTGAGAGAAGATGGCAGCTGGTACTGCAGCATGTTCCTGTGTTTCTCCTTCAGAGTGCTGCCGCTCAGCTCGCTCTCAATGAACTTCATGACGGGCAGCAGGTCTCCGTCCGGCCCCCCCACCCTCAGGATGATGGTGTATCCGTCTCCAAACCTGAGGGACACAATCACACATTAATACATAACAGGATCAACTACAAAACTCTGCAAGAAAGTTTGACAGTGTGGCTTCTACTGCCCGAAGACGTCGCAATATATATACACGCCGATGTTACCGGTAGTATCGTTGAGATTCAATTGAGATATCGCTACTCTCTTTTCTGCATTTTAGATTCATACTCTTGGATTGAATCTTGTGTTCGTGATGGACAGTCCACATATGTCTCCCGTCATTTCTGTACTGGACATGTACATCTTTGTTTGAGACACATACCTTTGAAAATTACATTTCTGTATTTGTGATGGAAAGACTTGAACTTAACATGAACCTCATTCTGAGCTTCATGTTAAGGTACAGTTACTCTATGGGGCTTTTATTTTGAAAGGCTGGGACTGGGTGGGCAAGAGAGGGGGAGAAGAGACATATTCATAATGTTTGACACACACATACAGAGGATATTAAATGACAGAGGTCTAACAATGCCTTTGATTGAATATCTCCAAGTCGTGTGTGTAGAAAGAGAGAGAGAGAGAGAGAGAGGGAAAGAGAGACAGACAGACAAGAGAGACAGAGAGAGAGAGGGAAAGAGAGACAGACAGAGAGAGAGAGGGAAAGAGAGACAGACATACAGACAGACAGGGAAAGAGAGAGAGAGCGTGTGTGTAACTGGTTGCCATGGTGAGGACGCACTTGGTTGGAGAGGCACACTGATTTTGAACAAAACTCCTGCCTCCTTTTAAAACTTTGTGCTACAAAGGCAGTGTCTGTGCCAAAGCACACTGACTATAATCCATCGGGCTTATTAATATTCTTTCGGGCGAAAGTACAAAAGTGTTATTCGCTTGTCCTCACACAGCGTTGCCAACACCTGCTCAAAAAATACATCAAAACGTGCGGCCTGATCGGGAATTGTGTGCAATGACTTTTCTCAGAGATTCGCCCAGCGGGTTTCCCGAAAATCCCCAAATACGGAGCAAAATTTCTCCATTGACTTGAATGGGGTTTCAGCGTGAAGAGAGCTAAAAAAACACTTTGGGCCCATATTGACTAGCCGTACATTAATGTAGAAACATGATTCAAAGTTTAAAACGTAGACAAAACGCTGCACTTTATTGAGCCAAATGGACATTTTGATAGCTAGCACAGTTTTAGTGAAGTCACAGATTAAGTTTCAGGAAAATTTTGGGTCCGTTTCAGATTTTATAATGGGTGTGTATTGCATGGAATGTTCAGCGCAAGAGTGAGAGCGTAACTGTCAGAGTGGAGCGGAGCAGGATTACATACAGTGTGCTTTGGCACAGGCAGTTTTACTGCCTTTGTGCTACAAAACCACACTGAATAAACTGTACGACCTGTATGAGTGTTGGACATGTCTCATGTTGATCATCAAAACCACCTCAAGAGATCAAGAGACAGGAAGTCAAACTGATGTTACCTGTTCTTCAGGTGTTGGACGCTGCCGAGACATCTGAACCTGCCGTTCACCATGATGGCCATCCTGGTACACAGAGCCTCACACTCCTCCATACTGAAACACACACAGGTAGGACACGCTGAGGACAGACTGAGGACAACCAGAGGACAGATGTTGAGGAGACACCTGTATGAAACTAACATGTCCTACCTGTGGGACGTGAGGACGATGGAGCGTCCCTCCTTGATGATGCTGTGGATGCAGTTCCAGAGGGCCCTCCTGGCTTTGGGGTCCATGCCGGTGGTGGGCTCGTCCTGTATCCACGAGGACAGCCAGGTTGAGGTCGGCCCACAAGTGGAGCAGGAAGCAGAGGAGGAGGAGGGGAATAACTATACAGCTCTTCTTCTTCTGTTTCTAACCTGTCTTTCTTCTTCTGTTCTCAAAAAACAGCAGCAGTTCCTTCTAACCCCCCCCCCCCCTCCCAACACTGTGGGAACTAAATATCCTCCTCTTCATCATCTTCATCACCACATGACTCACCGGATCAACATCAATAGTATGTGTGTGTGTGTGTGTGCATATATATATATATATACATATGTATGTATGTGTATGTGTGTATGTATGTATGTGTATATATATGTATATGTATGTATGTGTATATATATGTATATGTATGTATGTGTATATATATGTATATGTATAT